TCGTAATAATCCGTAGTAAACGGTTAATAGCTCGTAACAACTCTTAAAGCGGTAAAAGTGGCCAAATCCTAAGCATCCGTGAATATTTGTGATCTGTAAGGACTCGGAAGAAAAAAACGTGTATGTGAATGGGTAATATCGCTAAAATATGTCAAAATATTCATTTTAGGGACAATAACTCAAATAAGGAATCATCTGATCATTTTCGAATGATATATAAGAGCATGACATTCGGAAGATTGTTTTACCCGGACAGATTTTCTCTCTCCATAATAGTTATTGTATAATTTATGCATGGAGGCTAAGTTGGTTGATCATAATGGTTGGCTTGGACAAAAGATCACTTGCTTTATCATGGACAATTAAAGTCGTACGGTTAAAATTGGTGGTTTCAAAAAAGAAGATTTCATAAAAGTCTACGACGGGCGACGACGGACACCAAGTGATATCAATAGTTCATATGGTTGATGGCACCTTGGCCCAGGTGAGCTAAAAATATCTAAAACTTATGTCGTACAAACCTTGTTCAACCGGTGAATTAAGCTGGCTCTCAGACTCGTACGACGACTGTGAAATATCTACTACATCATCTGTACGTTCGGCATCATAATCTTGTGAACCTGTTGTGTGTTGACTTCCGGATGACTTTCTCTTCTCTGTTAATCTCATGTTAGACCATTTAATTTTCAATTCCCTAACGGTTCGTCTATGTAATCCTAATGCATTGATACTATCAGCTATTCTTTTCCAAACAAGATTTTTCCTAGCATTTATCATGGCATTAGTGTGGCGCGAATTAAGAAGTTCGTAGTGATTGTCAATCATTTTCTTGAGTACTTGTATTTCTAACAATTCCCAGTTTTTGTTACGAATCCTTTTCGACTTCCCAAACATATAACCCGGAAACTGATCAAAGCGTCTATTCGTATCCATGTTATTGTCCTCTAAATTCTAACAGGTGTACACTTTATACGAGTATTTCATAACGAGAATTATTCAACAGACAAATTATAACCTTTTCTTTGTCCTTGAGAGTTGTATCTTAACTATTTAATGAGCTCACTAGTCCGTTGCTATGGAAAATCACTTTATAAATACGATACATTAATTTAATGACTCAGTAGAACGTGATGCGATCGATTTATGTCGTCTGCTAACCATTAATATAACACCATGTCGGGATAATGAGACCATTAACGAGTTTAAAGAACACATTAAAATGTGATGAATAATTTAAATGTAATCCCTACTACTTCCAATCTATTGTTGATTATACTAATGAAATACACATTACAAAAGAATAAATTTTACGCTCAGATTTTACGTCAAGATGTATTTCTATCTTAGGTTGCAGTCGAATGTATAATTACGTTGTGTTTGAGTGCAAACAATTTATGGTTTGTGCAATGATAGTAAACACCCTACCCTTTTCAATTGTATAACGGAAAAGGGGGTCATATGATAGGTATAAAAGATATACAAGGATTTCATGACATTATGATATATAGTTGTTGACGTTTTGAGAAGTGAAAGCATGGCCGAACGTTAGAGACAGTGGAGGCATTTTCGCATATTTTGGTTCAAAGATATAATAACAATCACAATACTAATGTGCTTTAACAGGATTACTAAATAATTTAAATGAAGACTATTCTAGCACCTTGTACAATTCTAGAGAGATTGAGTTTATTGACAAGTTAAATAGAAACTACCTAAAACACACTTGATGTTTCTAAAAGATCTACATCCTCAGGGGCGGATCCAGTCATTTTAAAAAGGAGGGGGGGTTCCAAACCCAGGAGAAAGGGGGGGTTCCAACCATATGTCCCCATTCAAATGCATTGATCGGCCAAAAAAAGGGGGGTTCCAACCCCCGGAACCCCCCCCCCCCCCTCCCCTGGATCCGCCACTGATCCTCGTTGAATTAAATATAAAAAAAATACATGAAAAAATTAGTTTAAATATTCTTGTGTTTGTACAAGATTTAGAAATATGATTATCCCTGAACTTCTCCCGCTCGACAGTGAAATCCTTGTTAAAGTGGGGCGTCCGTTTGACTGTGTGAGATGTATAAATACCCAGCCACGTCCGGTTATAATATGGGCGTTAAATCCGATGCCTCGTTAAGGGTGAGTGTCACGATCTATGCATGTTAAAGAACCCTTGCAACAACTCTCCGATGGACCTTTAAGTGGCAAAATGTCTACCCCCATCTAGCATAGAATTACCTTTATTTTCCACTGACAGTCAAAAGTGTTAACCTTCCACCATGGTCGACCTATCTTGCAGAACCTACTTATTGAATACACTATTAGTATGTATTAGTCTTTGATATGCATGTACGGCCGTACGGTTGCCTATAATTGCTTACATCCACCTCATTTGAACTTTGGTGGATAGTTGTCTCAATGGCAATCATACCACATCTCCTTATTTTCATATGAAATATTTGCCATTGACAATCATACCACATCTCTAGAGGATAGTTGTCTCATTGGCAATCATACCACATCTCCTTATTTTCATATGAAATATTTGCCATTGACAATCATACCACATCTCTACAGGATAGTTGTCTCATTGGCAATCATTCCACATCTCCTTATTTTCATATGAAATATTTGCCATTGACAATCCTACCACATCTCTACAGGATAGTTGTCTCATTGGCAATCATACCACATCTCCTTATTTTCATATTAAATATTTGCCATTGACAATCATACCACATCTCCTTATTTTCATATGAAATATTTGCCATTGGCAATCATACCACATCTCTTTATTTTCATATGAAATATTTGCCATTGGCAATCATACCACATCTCCTTATTTTCATATGAAATATTTGCCATTGGCAATCATACCACATCTCCTTATTTTCATATGAAATATTTGCCATTGGCAATCATACCACATCTCTTTATTTTCATATGAAATATTTGCCATTGACAATCATACCACATCTCTACAGGATAGTTGTCTCATTGGCAATCATACCACATCTCCTTATTTTCATATGAAATATTTGCCATTGACAATCATACCACATCTCTACAGGATAGTTGTCTCATTGGCAATCATACCACATCTCCTTATTTTCATATTAAATATTTGCCATTGACAATCATACCACATCTCCTTATTTTCATATGAAATATTTGCCATTGGCAATCATACCACATCTCTTTATTTTCATATGAAATATTTGCCATTGGCAATCATACCACATCTCCTTATTTTCATATGAAATATTTGCCATTGGCAATCATACCACATCTCTTTATTTTCATATGAAATATTTGCCATTGAAAATTAAGCAAGCAACAGTCAATCAAAAGACCTATTTAGAAATGAGAATATTACGTTAATATTATGTTGTCTTGGTGATCATTTTTGTTTATTTAAATTTCTAACTATCTATTACAGTTTTTTCAGACATTAGGCAAAATTGCAAAAAAAAGTCGATAATAATGGTCCTTAAAGGGCAATTACTCCGATAAGGAGAAGTCTAACGATTTTGACCATGATGACTTATTTGTAGATCTAGTCTTGCTGATCATTTCTGCTGTATGAAGTTTCCTTCTATCTATCATAACTTTGTGATGAGAAAAGGTCACTTGGTCTTTTCGGCCAGGTAAGCTAAAAAGGTATATTTGATTTTGTTAGGGTTTTGAAACGTATGCGATTATATCCCATACGCTTCAAAACCTATATAATCAAAGTATTGAAACACACGTTTTTGAACATTTGGTAAATTGTTAAAAATCAAGCCATTATGATACATAAACACACTCGGTCTTGCTCCTTTTAGAGTTCCCTCAGTTTATTTGTTAATTACTTTGATTCGTATCTTTGAGATTTAATTAAGGAATGACTGTAATATTTTTTCTGTCTATGAAGAAATAACATCAAAAATGTGGTGCACACTGAATAACCCGCGTAGCGGGTTATTTAAAGGTGTGCACCACAATTTTTAGGTTATTTCGAATAGACAGAAAAAATATTACAGTCATTCCTTATAATTTAATTCCAAAAAGGCGTAAATCATGATAAAAACATTGATGACGTCACGGTCACATGACAAAATTATGTCTATGAGCTGATAGACAAAACACTTTCAGCCAATCAGAAGACGTGTTACATCCAAAATTAAATTATTCATCGGTAAACTACTGTTGCCTAGCTTGGATATGTACAGGTACTACATAATCTGGCAAGGTTTAACATGTTTACATGCATTTTTTTTTAAATAGTTTAAATAATTAATAATTGATCGATATTATTTTGTTCTGTAGAAAACAATCGCATAATTTTCATTTGTTTTTAGTGTGTCGGCTCTCTTTATGTACTGCGTCGAAATGTTGAACTGTGTTTTGCAATTTTATTCACACCCAAAGATGTTGAAAATTCAGAATTTGACAGTTTTTTGAAATGAAAACACGGAACTAAAAAAAGCTACCATTGTCGCCTATGTAAATTATATTTTATTTTAACCTTCAGCGATTTGACCATATGTTATTGAAAAGCGTGATAGATGCAGGGTTTTCAATTTCGTTTAACGACATCTTGGTGTAGATAAATATACATGGTTACCAATATCCGTTACTGAACCTCTGTGTGTAATATAGTAGACTAGTCATCACAATGCTATGAAAAACCACAAATATGCATAAACTTTAATATCATTGTCTTTTTCTAAATGTTATATATCCAAACACCTTTTCCGTATCATTTCACGTTTAAGTAATTATCAGAGGCGGATTTAGACGGTTTTCCAGGGTGGCGGGGCCCCCCTTTTGTGGGAAAAATTTGGTTGATTATTTAGGGAATCACTGAAGCATGACTGGAGCGGGCCCCCTCTTAGGCAGTCAGTTGGCCCCCCTTATGAAAATTTCTGGATCCGCCACTGATTATCACTCGGTGATTGAAATCTGAAGACATGTGTGTCAAAAAGCAGTAAATGTTCATACTTCTAATTGTGTTTTAACTTTTATAGGAAGGATATTATGTAATGATGATGCACCATATCATGTTATCTGGTACACGGTGTTCAACTGATTGTTTTAACGACGGAAACCAGTCGATAGTGACCTTCTCTATATGATGCCTTACGTATGTTTGTATGTAATCTATTAGACCTGATAAATATTTCGTTATCAAATTTAATAGAAATAATATAATAAAATAAACAAATGGCCGGAGAAGAGAGAACTATTGTGGTGGCAATGGATGGAAGTGACCATGCAGAAAATGCATTTAACTGTAAGTTTTTAAAATCATTTAAATATTATTTATCAGATTATTTAGTTTCTCATTTGATTGACAAAGTTCATATAATTCTTTTTCACTGCCTAGTGAACATACATTTTTTAGTCGAATCATTATAAAATACTAAAGATGCTTATTTACAATTTTTCGGCATTTACTTAAAAAAGAAAAGTATTTACATTTCATTTGACCATATGACCCATTTATAGACATCTGTTGTATCAAGATGTCATAGGGATTTTATCAATACAACTAGTTTTGACATATTATTTGATATCAGTAAATGTCCATCATGTCAAACATATGTTTCTTTAGATTATATTTTTTCTTTCATCAAAGACACACAATATCCCTTCAATTTTCTCATTCACCAAGGTTGTCAGTTTCGTGGATACCAAAGAATGCAAGCCATTTAATGATAATAAATGAGGCCACAGCCTTGAAGTAGGATCATGTAACGGCTAGTCAGGACAAACTGTTCAAATAATGAACCGATTTGACCATATACTATTCAAATAAAAAAATTCAAAAATCCGCTTAACCTTGACATGTATGTCAATTACCAAAGATTGACGTTGTCGTAAAGTACTGAGATGAAGCCTTAGGATATTTCTGTTTGTCTACCTGCGTGGTTTTTTTTATAATCTCAAGTATATTTTAATACATCACACACATATGTACACGCTCCACTGTTACCACAAATTGAAAATAATTCCACTTTGACGTTGTATTGTTGGGCTTCTTTTCCATTTGAAATAATTCTCGATTACTCGATACTGATAAAAACGTAAATTACATAAATTGTAAGCCAAGCTCAAAGGAATCATCGATAAATATGGTAAATGATAAGAAAATGTTACTCGTGTGATAGGCACGAATGTTATCAAAGATCCTTTTAGTTTTGTTAACTTTCCTATGTTTGAGTTCTAAATGTTTTTCTTATAACATGTAGTATCCTCTCTATTAAATGAGCAGATATTACTGTTAACATCAACCTTATAAAGTAAGAATCAGTATTGAAATACAGGTATGCTATCCTAATCCCTATGAGATTTCTTTTAGCGAATTGGAGCCTACAAGTTAAAGGTTAAAGATCTAAGGTTTTCTAATCTGACTTTACTATTTAATGCGGAAAATATTGTTCTTGGGTCAGAGTCTTGGGATGTTTCCCTAAACTTATTCACTATTCTGGTTAAGTATTATATTTATACATGTCGCTTTAACACTTCATTACCGACTCTTACAGGGGCGATAGCTATGATTAAAAATTCCTACCAAATAGAAAAAATATCTACCTCCTTTTACAGATCCCCTAAAGCAAGAGAGAAATTTGATAGTAAATGGGAATTGATTAAAAACTTAGTTTACATTTGAGGAGAGATCTTTCTTTTTTGTACTCACTTTAGGCTTTATAATAATTCATGTAGAATTAATAATATGTTGATGCGCATCACAACTGGACAGTGATTTGTGTGCATCATAAAAGTGCTATCTATGATGTTTATTGATATTGTTATATATATATTGATACACTTGTTTTTGCTTGATTGTATTTGAATTATCTCCCCTTGACTTAGGTTGTCTTTTACTGTTGTTATTTATTTTGTGATTCTGTCCAACATGTCCTGTCTGACCCTTATCTGTTAATGATCTCTGGTGGCCTCTCCTGGTACCTCTCATGTTCAACATCATAGTATTGACAGTGATGCATGTGGCAAGAGGAGAAGGCTGATGCCATCATTAACAATATCAACATATTCATGTACTCTAATCCAGAGTGATAAATGATGAGTATGATCTAATAGATAATTATCATATAGATAATAAAAAATTAGCATTTTTAACTTTTTAACCTTAGACTGTTATTGAAAAATTTAATATTAATACATGTATTATAAATTATCTATGTATTCATGTATCACAATGCTTGGTGCTTTTTCAGATAAAATAAAAATAAATTACAAAAAAAGTATTGAAATTTTTCAAACATTTAGAAACATAATTATAATAAACTACTGATAACTTCATTGATATTGCAATTAGACAATTAATTTTTAATATCCATTCTCAACTATTGTTTGTCAAAAAATTGAAGTAGTGATTAACACCTGCAAAAGCATATGGATTTGTCAATTATATCCCCACAGACAATAAATCCACTGAATTGAATTTGCATTATTTGTTCACGCTTTTTGTTAATTGTGCAGGTGGGTAAAATGTTTATAAAAACAATGTATATCTTTTACACAGAAAAGGACACTTGTCTATGCTATCAAACTTTATGCATGTAACACTGCTTCTAGCCGTCTAAATTTTGAATTAGATGAATAAATTAAGGATTTAAAAAACACAAAATTTCACAAAAATTAGCTTTTTCGTAAGGATAAAAGTTTATAAGAAATGCTTTAATATTACAATATACAATGTAATCAGAAGTAATCCAAAGTAATCATGATTATTTTAACGAAAAGTAATATAATGTTATTAATTACATTTGAATTTAGGTGTTATTGTAATGTAATCGATTACATTAAATTAGCAAAGTAATTGTAATCTAATCGATTACATTAAATAAGCAAAGCAATTGTAATCTAATCGATTACATTTTAAAGTAATCGACCCCATCCCTGCTTTAAATCTTTAATATAACATTTCGGATGAACTTTTTCTATACGTAAAATCCAGGGTAAAAATCCACCACCATAGACATCTTCAAGCCAACAAAAAGGCACATTTTTTGTCCTTCAAGCATTTCATTTATATCGTCAGCGGACATAATTGAGGAAGGTCCTGCACAATAAGCATGATAAGGAGGACGTTGCAAAGGGGTAGTCCGACGAACACATATACCATTTATCACGCGGATTACGATATGGTATAGCTTCTATAAGAATAAAACATTCTAAAACCTTGGTTTTGTTTCGTTTATTGCTAAGATAAGGTATTAGAAATGGAATGTTAATGGTGATATCATCGTCAATCTTCATGACATAAGTCACATTGTTGTAAAATCCATTCACCCAGAACAAGCTAAATACTCGTTTATATGTTAAATATCTGTAGCTGTCTATAAAATTTCCTTGAATAAGGTCTCTGTATTTGACACTTTCCTCATCAATGTCCATCTGCTGAGTATTATTCACGGTTTCCCAAAGCACAATGACATATTCAATATGTGTATTGTCAAATTCCAAATATCCAAATGTATTCCTTATAGCTGTGAACAAGGTTTGTGGGTGTGTTCTGGGGGTTATTGACAATTTAATGAAGTGACGACTCTTTTGCTTATATCTAAGGTTCTGCTGCTGCGTGTTATGCTGTAATTAGAACAAGCAATTTAATGTACAACTTTATTCAGTGCTGATCGATTCAAACTGATATAATACAATATTCAAACATATTGTAGCGGGCAGGGGCTTGAAATGCTTGACCCAAAAGTTTTACTCAAAATTATGAGTGTTTTGGAAATTGCTAAGTCAGTATGACAAGATATGATCTGGTCAGTATAATATAGGCATTTGCTAAAAGTCACATAAATAAGTTTCTATATTTTATTCATTTCAAGACTCAGATATTTTCATTGATATTCAACATGTTCAAGATAAACAACAACAATTTTAAGTAGTAAGATACTTAAATTATAAACTTTTAGATTATATATGACAAGAATCTATTCAGTATACATGTAATAATTTATCTCTACACTCAAGAGATACTTATTATAATTTTAAAGATTGCAGGATAACTTTGGCTGTGCAATTCTAATAAAAAATAACACTTGCTATTACCAATATAATTGTATGTTGGTGTGTCAGAAAAATACTTAAAAGTCCTGCTATATTAATAAGAAAATAAATTACCCTTACAGAAAATACTAATTTCAAGTGAATTTAGTCAGAATACCTCTTTCTGACAGTTTTGTAAATAGTAATAACTGATACCTCACCAGTTATATAAAAAAAAATGTTTATTATCATTAGTTATATTCAGAACCTTTCCTAAATAACTAACAATAAAATACAATTTATACCTTAAATAAACTGTTTTGTTTATTATAATTTCTAGACCTTTAGGAAATTATCCCTTAATTGCCTAATGTTTTCCTATTTAATTTTATTTATTAGAAAGAAAAAAAAACAAACGTTAACAGTAACATGAAATACAATGAACAATTTCAATAATCCTAACTTTAAAAGATAAACTAGAAATAAAGCTTTGCCGGCAATAATACGATAATTAACCCAAAAGATATTTTAAAACAGTTTTAAGAACTTTCCTAAATTTACTAAAAGAATAAAATACTTTAAGCAATAGATCAAAAATGTAGGAGTCCGGCTCCTAAGAGTCCGCTAAAAATGAAATATTCCTTTCTAACTTAGAAAACGCTAAATTTACTATTTTCCTTTACAATTTAACCCCCCCAAAAAAATGAAGTTTGTGAGAAAAATTAACCATTTTGACAAAAATTACTGATGAGCGAAATAAAATACTAACTGTAACGACCAAAGATTTAAGCAGAACTGACGAACAAGCGTCGAAATTACGTCAATGTTGGATTGTTGGCAAAGTTGGAAATTGTTGGATCGCGCGCTTGCTGTCCAACGAAATATTTGAAATCTCAAATAAATTACAAAAATCATAATAATATACAATTTTAGTAACAGTCATATAATAAACAAATTTTGCATGGTACTAAACAAATTTCTATAGTAGCTAAAAATACACCAATAAAACTTCACCGGAAGTCACAATACGTAAACAACATTGCCAAAAGTTATGTGTGTCACCGGCGAACCAAAATGACAAATATCAAGGATAGTGAGCATTAACATCTACAAAACATTGAAGACGTTGACTACAAATACTAAAAGGAATTACAAAGAGTATTTGAAAACAGTTGCCGAAACGTAAAAATAGTGTTTTTATTGAAACATCGTCCCAAGTGACACATGGGTTCCACTGCGCATGTCAGTACATTTCATTCATAAAATTCAAGCAAGGTGCGTGGATTTACTACGAGATTTACTACGATCTACTAGTACAGTTGCTACAATTGGATCATCACAAAAATACAAGACATCCAGTTGGATTATTACTATGAACTGGTAAATTATAACATGAACTTCAAATAGTTTATCAAATATTCAAATGACAGTAATTCAATATTTCTAGAAAATCATAATATTGTAATTGTTCCAACTTTACTTAATTAAATGTAAATTAAAACTTATTTGTTTCAATTATGAATATGTTTCAGACTACAATCATTACAAATAATATAGTACAAGTTATTTCACACAGTTACTGTTTCCTACATAATAAGACTTTCATAAAAAAATACAGAATATTAAACAATATGCTTTATTAATACCAATTAAAACATACATCAAAAATATCTTCTCCCTGTCTATGTAAACTTACATGTACATCACACATGTCACAATAAAATACATGTACCCTAGTCTTCGTACTCTACAATATAAACATACATAACATAATAAGAAAGCATAGCGTCTCTGATGAATAAATCAACTGTAAAATAATACATGAATTAAGACATTGAACACCCCAAATTATGTTCACATTTATCAAGAGATAGGGGAAACTGGGTCACGCCAACAAGGATGTCATGGAGTGTTTGGATAACGCAATAGAAGCATGATCCTTATAAAAACAATTGGACAGCATTAAACAGGTTGAGACCAAACCCCCTATATAGTGATAACACCTGCATAGAGTGATTATCCTTCTATAGAGGGATAAAAATTTTCTCTTTATAGAAGGGATATATTTGTTTAGACTGGATTTAAAGCAGGAAGATGGCAAAGGTGCATTTTCTAGATATTGGCTATAATCTGTAGCATTATAAGTATCAATTATTGCACTTTACTAAAAATTGGGATGCCCAGTTTTCTGTTTAAGTGACAGAAGTTGCGGTAATAGTTCCATATGGCACACCCACCATACTAAAAGAACACAATACTGTATTACAGTTTATTCCGTGGGGGTGTCATATGGAACTCTTTCCGAACTTGCAATCTATTGTGTACCTATCTGAACACCTGATCATTAACAATAGGGACAGTTGATCTATAAATTTTATGTTTAATCTAACAATAGAAATCTGTTCATTGAGGCATAACTGAGTGGAATTTACCTGATCATCACAGCTTTTAATTATGATGAACAAAAGATTGTTTATTCAATCAGTTTAGCAGTATACTAGACATGTGCATATTAAATTTAGTACATCAATTGATGCATCCAATGTTGCAGGTTACTGCCATAATAAGTAGAAAATGCGCAGTTGCCATGTTCTGCTTTAAATCCAGTCTTAACAAATATATCCTTCTATAATTATATCCCTCTATAGAAGGGTAATAATAATATACATGTATTATCACCATAAATGGGGTTTGTTCCCAACCTGTTAAAACACAACATATTTTGAAATAAAAGCAATTGGACAGACGTTCAAAGACAATACACTGTAAATAATTAAAATATAAGTAACCTGCTATCTATATAACCTTTAATCTTTGTACACTAATCCTTAATCAATGCCAAATAGCAAATCGTATCTGAACACCCCCTTTTTTCCTTACTTTTGACCTTTCACTATATTTAGTCGTTTGATAATAGAATTATATGAATCGTGCAATTTGCCAAAACATATAAATAATAACGGTTAACTCTTTGTTTTACCTAGAAATGCCTACTATTTGTACAATTCCACATTTTTGTTTTGGTCGCGAAAAATTAGAGAATGCGGTTTCAAATAATGGGAGATAATCTGATCATGCTCCAATCAAAGACCCAAAAGATAAACATACACAGTAGTGTGCTATGATACAATAAAATAAGTATAACGAAGAAAATAATGTTGACATAGAAATTAGAGCATCAATAAAAGTAGTTATGACAATATAAAATACACAAATTAACGTATCTACATACAGACAAAACTTTACTATTAACGGAACTGTTTAAATCGTTTCTTGAAAGCGTCTAGTACTTTCTCAAAACTATAAACACTTGGAAAAACATAATACTAAACATATGTACATAAACAGAAAAGACTTTACATAAGAAAATCAGACTTAGTCCTTTATCTAAAATATAAAATTACATGAACTTGGAACTCAAGTTTGAAATGCAAAAATATGTAAACTGAAATAAGCAGGATGCGAGTGCATCAGACACATAAACCAGTAAAGACATTCAACCACTTTAAAGAATGGGAAACCAAGACTATGTAATTTGACCAAACATTTTAAATAAAGTAAATTTATAACACCGAACTCTTCTACAAAATAATAAATTGAACCTGTAATTAGAACAAGTAATTTAAAGTACAACTTTATTAAGTGCTGGTCGAATTCAAACTGACCAGCACTGGCGCTTGTTACTTGTTATCCAATTTACAATTGAGTTTCCAGGTGAGGTTCAGCAAGGTTTACTTTTTGTGTTACCAAAGGGTTAGATTAAAAAATTTCCCCTGGCTGGCCCCATATCATAAAAGGGGACGCTAAAAAAAATGTAACTATTATTTAGTTTATTCATTAATAAACGGATTAGTGATGTTCGTTAAGAAGGAAATAACCCCAGATTATGTCATTTAAATTTGTATGGACACACATGATTTATATCACTCTATTGTCCTGTGTCTTAAGATAAATTTCTCAAGATTATAAAAGTTAGAATAAAGCAAACTGCTCTCGACCAATGAAATTGTAGGATTTGGTGTTTCTTAATTGTGAAGAATGAATGTAAATCATGTTCTTAGTAAGTGATTATCCATTGTTTTAAACCTATTTACAGTTAAAAAAAGAGTTTCTATGTATAAGTTACAAATGCCCCCAAAGCACATTGACCGGCTTGAAAGGATTTGTGATTGAAACTGACTAAATGTTTAATTTAAAAAAAAACAACAAAATCAAAATAAGTTGAAGTTTACTGGTTCTGTAAAAAAATTAATACCATTGATGTTATTATGAAAATATTAAGAACTTCAAACTAACTAAAAAGTTGAACAACATCAAAGCGATGCAAAAAAAAAAAAGAAAAAAGTTTTAAAATTGAATATAAACTATATTGGTAAGAACAATAATTTCCAATATTCTGATAAAATTAAGAGAAATGCAGGAATTTAATTTAACTTAAGAATATTTATAAATGGCATTTTATTTGAACATTTAGTTTTAGTTAATTACTTTACACAATGAAGTGGTATTTGATGTAAAGAGCTGCACTACAATATTGGATGTGAAATAAAATTTAGTTTTAACTCAAAATCATGGATTTATTGATTTGAACTGTGAATAAACTAAAAGATAATTCCTCACTAAAATACTAAATGATTTACATTCATACTCACCATTAGGAAACTTATACAATTCCTACGTAATGTTGTGTCATCTAATGTCTGAAACACAATTTATTTTAATTTACAAAATTAAAAGAAAGTCTTTACATCACTAAAACTAATCCATAAATGAAATTAATGCATAAAAAGGAAGTCATGCATTAATAATAAACTTGCACTGACAATGAAACGAATTCTTGAATACAACCAATCAAGAGATCATTTGAGCATTGAGCACTTTACAATATTCTAAGTTTGTAAGAGAATGATAATCACTTTCATCATGATAAGTACTCGCCAACGCTCGTACTTAATCATGAAGAAAGGGATTACCATTCTCTTACATAAACTTAATTTACATGACTGCTAAATAATGACATATGTAATAAAATTAATTGGAATGATTAATACACAATTCTTTCTATCAATAAAGTTAGAATGCAGTTGATGAGGCAAGAAGTTGAAAGTAAAATTTCACTGTCACATATTTCCCACTCGGGCAGAAAATGTCTTCGTCCGCGATGAAAGTAATTTTTGTTTTTAAATTTCGAAAATATAAATAGATAATTCCCCATTTTGTAAGGAAGACGTCTGACACAAGTAACGTTGAGAGTTTAGCATAAGCTATAAAATGTTTTACTTTTCTAGCACTGTATGGATTTATCTTAATGTATTTTGGTAATGGTATTTCATGTTTTGTATTGGTGCCATGAATAGAAAAAATCATGACAATCTGCATGCAATATCTTATGATAAAAATACCTAAGATTCTCGTGTTTGTAATTGTTTCTGGTACTCTTATAATCCCATCTGTAGGACAGAGTGATAATTTGATCAATGGTATAGTGATACATGATAGTTCATTTGTAATTTCAATTAAAACTTTAGTATGGTTGCTACTTGTAGACCTTTTGTAGAAAGAGATTGTAAAAATGGCTAATGTGATTGTGGTGATTATGGATAATATAACAAATGGCCATGGATTGTATTGTGTGTTGAAGATGTTTTCAATGGTGCCAGATGTTGTAGTTTTTGAAATAAGTTTGTAAATGAATGTTGGAAATGGTGATGGAATAGATAAACGTTTTGCCTGTGGAATCTTTTGCAAAAGAAGTACTGTGTCCGTCAGTAAGCGAACTTTGTTAAAAAGTGTAAAACATGATATTGCAAGAATGGAAGACAGATTTAAAGCTGCAATAGCAAGGATGGTGCTATTATCAAGCCATAAATCATCCACTGAAATTTCACCATCAATAAGAGGTTCCAAGAGGGATGTGAAGACAGTCTGTTCTTAATCTTTTTTGTTAATTCTTTTTAAACTGAGATGCAAAGTTCTATCTTGTGAAAGAATGTTTCAAAACGTGTGATTAGAAATATGTATTATATATATCAAATAATTACACCTTATGTAAGAATCCTGGGTTTTGATTGGTTGATAGCCAGTGTATTTTTCACCAATTTTCTTTTATCAAATGAATATCGTTCATTTTTAACAGCGCCGGGGTATATGCAAAAAGGATATGCCTTTCTTACCCTCTCTGCCGTGGTATTTGCCAAAAAATACTCTATCCGACTGGACGCTTGAAATGTCACGATCATCAATGCGTTTTATGTCACGATCATCAATGCGTTTTGTACGTTAACATTCGGTGTAATTAAACAGATATAGCATGTTCTTGAGGGGTATTTGCGAAAAATACCAGTCTTGAGAATGAATTTCCCTCGCCTTACGGCTTGCGAAATTTATCATTCTCTCGACTGGTATTTTTCGCAAATACCCCTCCTTAACATGATATATCTGTTCAAAATATTTTCTTAGGAACAAAAATTGAATCGGTAGATAATGAACATCTACATGGAATGTGAATGAAGCAAAAATGGCAGCCTTTCACAATGTTATGTTTGTTTTGACACTAAAATGCCAGAGTGTTCGTCTTGTAGACTAAAAGAGTGCTATCAAAAATTTGTCCGATGGAAGGATGTAGTATGTTTAAAACAAATCTAAAATCCCACTGTTCGTGAATATGAGATTTTGAGTTAAAATATAGAGAAGATATACAATAAGTGACAGATGAAGGATCTGCATGACGCAAGTAAAAACCTTTGTATTTATCACTAAGAGTGAGTTGAATATGCTTGATAGTATTCTATAAAATTTTTAGTGATATGAGGAAGGGAGATAATTTGCCTTTCACCATTTCATCAATTCCAATAGTTTGATCAATAAAAAAATTTGATAATTTAATGCTTAATTCTTCAAAGTGTGCTACAAAGGCGTAGGCCCGGTAAGACCCCTTTTTGGCCAAAATATAGCATTTTTACAAATCTGTTCAAAATGTAAACTTTTAGCTATTATTGAAAAGTATAATACTTTTGTTACATAAATACGGGCTGTTTTTGACAATGCAATGCACATGCATCAGGTACTAGCATCATTAATGCATGCGAAATAATTAAAATTTTTACAGTTTTAGCATTTGTGCTAATCTTTAGACGGTTTTTGTCTAAACTGGAAGTGGCCGCACTTGTGTTCAGTTTTAATACTTATATATATATGTTGTATTTAATGCATACCATATATAAAGGTTGAGACTGAACACGACTGCGGCCACTAACATTTTAGATAAAAACCATCTGAAAAGTGACGTTTTATGGCATATTTGATAGATTTTATATATTTGAGCTTGAAATTTAGCGTCTTTTATGACCAAATCAGTTCACGTCTTTTGCATAAACTAATTGAATCGACTGAAGTGCATAATTTAGTGTTTGAAAAATGTCAAAACAATTTCATCAGATGTACTTCAAATTTTAGGCCAAAATCAGCCCTTATCGGACCTTCTCCTTTAGCAGTTTCAAAAGTTACATTTTGGATACTTTCATAATTTTTCTGAATGCCACTCATATTGTTATGGAGACGACTATCAGTATTTGTCACGAAGGACGACAACTCTTCATCACGGTGTGACATAGCTGATACAAATTTATTATTTCTCGCAGCCAAAATATTGACATGTCTTGCCATTTTTTAGACATTTTTAACTGTGGCTGTTCCTAATAACGATCGGGAAATCGATCACACAAGGACACAAAGTCCTTTTTTACTTCTACTCTGGGTAAGAGTATTCAAACGTTGGTCTGCTTTTGGAACTGAGCCATGTATAATATCAACAGTAGTGTTTATACTTGCTGTTACTTCTGTTCGAACAGCTGATAGCTGCGAAATGACTTGATTGAGTATGTGACAATTCTGGTGTAATATATCACATCTTGGAAAATTGGATGAAGATAACTTGTGAGGAAGGGGTATCTCGAAAGTATGAAGCCAATTTTCACTACCGAAAACCAATGTCTGCTTCCTTGCCAAAAGTTACTCCATAGTTGATGCGGTGCAACTGTATTTTCCCATCTGCAATTACGGCACATAAGCCAA